TTTCTATTCCTAGGTTACTCTTAGGTCTAGTTGAGCTTGCACTTCAGCGCCACCAAACCGAAACATACTCCGAGCCTACGCCAGGCTCACCCCAAGAAACTGCGGGGAGAGACTGCCTGAAGTTTATACGGACCCACAAGAAGATCGGAAGTGGGTCGCAAGCCCAGACAACATGACGACACAAAGAGAAATACATTAGAAACAGGAATGGGTCATGGCTAACTTACTTATATCATGGACCTTGCGCACATCTACACATGAACCTTTCTGTGATGTCTCGATGTCCTGGCGTCGTATTTCAGAAGCAGCTCACGCCGTTCCCAAAAGTATTACAGGGGCCTAAAGGGGGTTTATAAGGGTTACTATAAGGGATACTCTAAGGGTACTATAATATAGGGGCCGTAACAATTACCAATACTCTTGCGGGGGGTTCCTTTTTATAACTATAGTATAATGCGCTCCGAAACCCTATTCTAAAGATTAAGGCCCTGTACTAAACCCCTATAGTACCCCTTATAGTATCCCTTAAAGGAGCCCTGTAAAGAAGAACCCTATTCTAAAGATTAAGGCCCTCTATAGTCTGTCTGCGAGGTCCCAGCTCGTCCTGCTTTCTACACTGCTGTCGCCGATCTGGGCTGAAGACACTTCTTGTGAGCACAGCCACTGGGCTGGCAAAGCAGCACTACTATGCTCCTGAGTAGTATCCCTTTTGCCCTTTTTATTTTTGGATCCCCGTATTGAAACCGAATAGTAGGAAAAGGAGTACCCTGATTGAAAAGGGGCTAGTCAGGAACCTAGACTAAGCCTAAACCCTCAATTTAGAGGTTTGGGTCGAGCTGGAAAGGAGACCTCAGTACATGTACCCTTGAGGATAAACCAGAAAGCAAGGGTAGGGTCGGGTATGCCGAGACGCGGACTTTGGGTATATGGAGAAAGGATTCACGGCTCGCGCTTTAGAAACTAGGGTAGCGGAGGAGATGTTGAAGCTAAGTGGGATTCGGATTTGCAGCTTTGTTCAACATCGCACCCGAGACACCCACAAGCCTACACACCCTGAAACCCCCTTGAGAACCAATTTCTTCCGAACATAGCACCCGAGACCTATGCCCTAAACCCTAAACCCCTTTCCCCTAAGCCCTAAACCCTAAACCCTAACTTCTAAGCCCCTAAGCCCCTAAACCCCAGCCCCAAACCTAAACGCGATCAGGTCTGCTCCAGTTTCAAGGCGCCCGGAGAGCGCAGCCAGCTGTTGGGGGCTGGTGCCAGGCTCCAGCTTTTCAAGGGTTCCTATAAGGTAAGGTTTAGAGGTATCTATGAGGATAAGAAAGGAGTTCATGGTCATTTTCCGGCTTGTTTAAGATGCCTTAAACCCCCCCGATGCACGAAACCACAAGATACCCCTAACCCGTAAAAAGCCTTAATGCCCTGCTAAGATATCCTGATCCTCTTGCTAGGCTCCTGAGTAGTAGCCCTTTGCCCCTGTCATTTTAGGGTCCCTTCATTAAAACCTTTGTAAAAGTACTCAGGGACCTAGGTATCCTGATCATCTTGCGAGGCCGCCTGGGCAAACAAGTGCACTTGGGGCTCCGACGCGAACATCATCCTTCCTGGAGGCCCTGGGTTTAGGGTTTAGGGCCTTAGGGTTTAGGATTTAGAGTTTATTGTTTAAGGTTTAGGGTTTTAGGGTTTATCAGGGTTTTGGGTTTTAGGGTCTAGAGCATAGGGGTGTTTAGGGGTGTTTTAGGGCTTAGGGTTTAGAGCTTTACGGTTTAAGAATTAGGGTTCAGGCTTTGGCAGTGTAGGGTGTAACCATCGAACACCAGCACGATGGACAAAACAAATAACAAGGGCTTGCTTAGGGGTTACTTCGAGGCTCATGGGACTTAGTAAGTAAGGTTATAAGTAGGTTATACTTAGGATAACCCCACTTAGGGGACTTATAACCCCACTTATTACTTACTTACTAAGTCCCATGATCCTCCAAGTAGGGGTTCAGGGACCTTATAGGGGGGAAGAGGGGGTTCCTGGATGTTTTGGGTTTAGACCTTCAGTTTAGGGCTTTTGGGGGTTAGGGTTTAGGGCTTTTGGGGTTAGGGCTTTAGGGCTTTAGGGGTTTAGGGTTTAGGGCTTCAGGGGTTAGGGTTTAGGGCTTTGGGGGTTAGGGTTTAGGGCTTTGGGGGTTAGGGTTTAGGGCTTTGGGGGTTAGGGTTTAGGGTTGTGTCTTCAGGGCCTTTGCTCTGTCGAGTTAGGGGCTCCCGAGCTGCGAGGCTTTCAACCGGATGCTACCGTGCTGCCCAATCCGGACAACTGGAATTCTCAGACCCTTGGATGTGCGTAAACCCTAAACCCCAAACCAAAACCCTAAACCCTAAACCCCAATCCCTAAACCCTAAACCCCAATCCCTAAACCCAAAACCCTAAAACCCTAAAAACCCAATCCCTAAACCCTAAACCCAAAACCTAAACCCTAAAAAGCTACACCGTGAGCAGGCTGTACAGCTTCGGGCGTTTTGAGTGCTCCGAAGCCCTTTACCTCGAAATTCTTTACAAGAAGGATCCTACTATTTAGGGTACTATATTAGGGTCCCCTATTTTCGGAAACTCCCAAATGCCTTAGCCCCTTAAACCTCCTAAGCCTCCCACTGAGTGGACCTTTTTCCCTTTTTGTAGTCCTAGGCTCCTTATAAAGTTACCCAATACCAAAAAGGGAGCCCCTCTTATTCCTAGGTTACCGGCAATCCCAGCCTCAGCTCGAAACTCTAGTCCATGCTTTGAGCCTCCATCGAAACTTCAGTTCTTGTAACCAAACCCAAAACCTATGCCATGCCTTAGTACGGATAACCTAGAACCCGAAAGTACCTACGTTGCAGTAACCGGGCCCTGACAGAAAGTTTCAGGGGATGCCAAGACAAATATCCTTCCGCTGTTTCCAACTTTCGGGTGTTTTGTTCTAGTCCGTTGTAGTGACAGGAGGACTGGCCAAGTCTGATACCCTAAATCCATAATCTCATGGGCCACAAAACCCTGAACCCGAAACCCACAAATACCCGCAACCTCTTGACCACAAAACACAAAATACATAAATCCCGCAAGCCCCTCAACCGAACTGCCCCTTCTAAGCACTAAACGCGGAGCAACACAAACCCTAAGCCCTAAGGTAAAAGCCAGAAAGTTGGAATATGATTATCCTAAACCCTTTATGGTAAATTATAAGGTATCCTACCCTGAAACCATATTCCAACTTTCTGGAGTTCCCTTTAAAGCTGTAGACCCAGGAGCTATCCCGATGGCGTGTGGCTAACGATCGGCGGCGAAGGTGTCGGAGTTAACGACCCCAAGGTCTGTGATCTGCAGAAATGAAAACAACATGGGAGTTTCCGAAAATGGGGGGTACCTTAATTTGGGGTCCGTCTAATAAGGATCCTACTACGTAGGGTACTATATTAGGGTCCCCTATTTTCGGAAACCTCCATACATGGTTACACACGTCGATACGCGTATACAGACATGTGTATTTACATCTATATCTATATCTATGTCTACATCTAAAAATGTATCAACAGCTGTACCTTGCTATACGTGTATGTGTATATATATATATATATATACATATACACACATATATATATATATATATATATATATACGCCTATATCTATATCGTTGTTGTACCTGTATGTACATATATATATATATACTCATACCTGTAACTATAACTATACCCATATACATACAATTATACGTTCACATCTATATATATATATATACATGTACATACGCGGATGGTATACTTATATCCATATATGCATGTATGCATATATGGATATGTATATACACACATATGAGGGTTTCGGGCTTAGGGCTTAGCAGACTCGGCTTAGGGTGGTTAAGGTTCTTGAATTTAGTTCGGAGGTCCTGAGTTACTCCATAGGGCTCCTTTCGGGGGTCTATTGGGGTCTCCTCGGGTTCTATGAGGATCTAGGTTTTAGATTAGCAGCCTGAAAAACTTACCGATAGCATGCCCTGAACCTCCTTATTATCGTCATGCCGTAATATACCTTCCTTTGCTGAACTTCTCACGGCCCCCATATTGCTTCAGAGGACTGCTTGGATATTCCATTGCTTGTGCAGTGGGCGGAGAAAGTTGGTGCTACCGGCCTGTCATTCGACATGGAAGGCTGCTTAGATTACAACACTAAGATGCTTGCTCAGCAATTCAGAAAGCAGTTTGCTTTTCTTCATGCATTAGTTCGGATGGCCTCGGATACAAGCAGTCGTCCCACCCTGGGATTCCTGTTGCGAATATCACTACTCATACTACCACCCATGCCAGCACTGTTGCTGTTACTATGAGTTCCCGCAACAGCGGAAGACCGCCGGGAAGGCTCCGACAGCATCCTACCCAAACCCCAAACCCGAAACTCTACAACCTAAACAGCTCGAAGAGTACGTCGAGCTTCAGCCTAAAGATTCCCCCGACACCAAACGAGCACTCCATCCCACAGGCGTGAACTTCGAACGAAAAGCTGAAAAACAAAGTCACGGCATGCACGGGTGTGTGGCGAGAGCACGACACCGGACAAAATGCCTGCCACCATGAGAGTGAGGCACGCAATGCCACTTCACTCGAGTTTGATTGCCTGAATTGCCTCCGATGCAAAAGCGCTGTAGCTTGTGTCTTGATGCTTTATGAACGCTATGTGTTTCCGCTGCTTCGTTGTTCTACTTGTAGCGCTTTTTGCCTTGTCTCTTCGTCATCTACTAGAGGCCAGGCTGCTGTGTTTCCAGCTCGAACAACACTGGAAACTGGGCGACTTCCAGACCTAACTGCACTATTTAAGAGGTTCCTTATTATACTTATAGAACACTGGGCCCCAAAAACCTTATTCGAATTATTGAGGCCCCTATATTGCTGCTTTATAACTCGAAGGTCACGCTTGAAACACTCAAAACCCTACAAACCTAAATCCTTGGAACTCTTGCCGAGGTTGCAGCCCCTCATGGACGCACTGGAAAAGACACCAACGAAGCTGCAAAAGATGTTCGTACCACTTGGAAGCTAGGCATGTCTTCATGTGGGTGGTTGTCAAAGTTAGGGTCCCTGTTTGGGTCCCTTATTACAATACGGCACATATTATTTAAGTTACCGAAAAAGGGACCCTAATTTTGACAGGCACCCATGTGTTTTTTGTAGGCTGTTCAGGGTGTTTAGACCTACGGTCCATCTCCAAGCTTCCCTGCGACCCCAAGCCGCAAACGCTGCACTTGTTGATTCGGCGCCACCCTGAACCTTAACCCAAGCCTCTAGAGTGTCTGTAGATTTTTGGGTCTTGGGCTCCGAGGAGACATTGGAGATGTTGGACCAGTGCCGAAGTACAGTGACCTCTCAGGCACTTTTGATGTCGCTGCCCCGATGCTCCTTGCATGATGTTGCAGGAGTCTGAATTCTTCGTGAGATTATCCCTTCTCGTCCCTGTATGTCTGCACTATATTGCAGCCCCAAACTGTAACCTATTTTACTTCACATACTTCCACACTACCGAGTACCCGCCTCACAGTGCCCAATGGACCTGATTAAGCGCAGTCTACACGTACGCCTCAGCAGTTTAGGTTCTACTGGGGCGCCACGACGTACCAGGGGAATATTGACTGCGCCAAGATCAAAGTCTGGATCAACTCCTGGTTGGAGGCCTGGTGGATTCAGGGTTTCGGGTTTGGCGGTTAGGGCTCAGGGTAGCCAGGGAGCCCACAGCCCACATTCCCAGAGAAGGTTCCTCAAAGAAAGGGCTTACTGTGATGGTTTAAGGAGACTTCCTGCCTCCAGGGGAAATGGGCTCTCTGAGTCAGGAACTAGGAGTGGTCATATGGAATTCTATCTCCGAAGGTAAGCAATACCAGCTTGTTTTTTGCTGCTCCTTGAGAATATTTGCTATTTCTGCTGCTGCTGATCCTCACTCCTACTCCCACTCCTACTCCTACCCCCACTCCCACCCATGCTCCCACTCCGCCTCCCACTCCCACTCCCAGCCCCACCCCCACTCCTGGTCCTACTCCTCCTCCTCCTTACTACTCCAACTCCCACTCCTACTCCCACTCCTCCCGCCCCTCCCACTCTCCACTCCGACTCCCACTCTCAGACTCCCACTCCTCCTACTTGGAAGGCTGGCTGGCCGAAGGACAAGATGAGCCTTTGCTCGCTTATTACGCGTCGTTTACCTGGGGTTTGGGAAACATCGCTTTTACAGCGGTCTACAAGGGGGTACTACAACGGATCTATGAGGGTGCTATATGTAGGACCCGTAATAGTTAGAGTAGGGTTTTGGGGTATATTGTACCAGAAATCTAATAAGGAACCCCCCAAAGTAGTATCGGTAGTTATTAAGGCCCTAATGTTGGGATCCCTCTATTGAGAATTTAGTGCTGAGCCTAAACCCTGAACCCCAAACCCCCAACTTTAAATGCCGAATATCGAAGTCGGAATAATCGGCCATAGCATCCCCGTCTAGTTATATCAGTGCACTACTACACTGAGCCCCACAACCATCCTTTTGAGTCTTAGGCGCTTGAGGGTCGTGGGAGTCTCTAGGGCTTATGGATCGGGTGTTTGTCTATTTTTTTAAGTCATAGGGGATCTTAATTTAGGGTTTCGGGTTTAGGGTTTAAGGGCTCTATTTAAGTCATATTGTTGGGTACTGCCCCCACTCACAGTTGGATAATATTCATAATATCGCCATATTGGGACCTCAATAGTAGGCCTATTATAGACTGTTACTGTATGGGGGCAGTACCCAAGGTTTAGGGTTTGGGGCTTTTGGTATGAATGCATCGGAGTCAGCATAGACCCAACTATTCGAGGTATCTGACCTTTCAATCCCAGTCGGCAGCAGCGGACGAGAAAGGGCAACTTGTTCTCAAGTGCTTGACTGAGGAAGTGTTGCTCGGCTCTTCAGTCCCGGGCTCACCAGTTTAGGGTGAAGGGTTGAGGGTTTAAGGTTTAGGGTAGAGGGTACCAGTTTAAGATAAGAGTAATACCAACTCACAGTTCCTGGTGCTATTATAATTTTGAAGACTCCGAAGCCAAGTTCCAATTACGGCAATCTTCGGGGTTCGCGTCGAGGGTGCAGGCTAAGCACGAATCTATCCGCAGGAGTGCAGGGTTTAGTGGTGTGAATTCCCGAAACCCTCACCCTAGACCCTAAACTTTCGCTCTCATCCAAACTCTAGACCCAAAGCCGTGGAGTCCTGAGCCGCGAGTCGCAAAGCCCGGCTTTGCATTAAGGGTTTAGAGTTCAAAGGGCTCTGGGTTCTTTTAAAGGGCTCTCGGTTCCTTCAAAGGGCTCTGGCGTTTCTGCTTAGAGGTTTAGGGTTTTCGGGGTTTCTTTGAAGACAGGCTCTACAAGGGTTGCCATAAGGGAGTTTCCGAAAAGGGCGCCCTAATACTGTACCCTAAAGAGTAGGATCCTTATTATAATGACCCCTAAATAAGGACCCCCTAATTTTCGGAAACTTCCATAAGGCATCGGAAACTCCCATAAGGAGGGTTGCCAAGGACTGAGCAAGGATATTTGGGCCTGCTTGGCTGGCCTGCACCCAACGCTGCGGACAACATCAAAAATATGGAAACCATCAAAGCATCGATGCACCCTGGCACTGCAGTTTCGGGTTTAAAGTGTCAAGTTCCGAGGTGGTGTTTACCAAAACTAGGTCCAGGTAGGGCCTTGGGACATTTTATATTTGCTCTTATTGGGCTTAAGAGGATCTTACCTACTAACATTTTTCAAAGGCTTTAAAAGCACCTCCTAGAAAATAAAACGGTGCCATCATTATTGGTCAGTCAGGTCTCTATACGTTACAGGAGCTTTGGCTTAGTTCTGGACTTCTTCGAACTTAAATCATAAGCCGACACTCCCCAACCCTAAACTCAAACCAGGTGGGGGTTGAAGGGAATGTCGAAGAAAGATACGGGAGTTTTCGAACATAGGTGACCCTAATAGAGTACCCTGAATAGTAGGATCCTAGTTCTTAGGAACCCAAAAAGAAGGTACCCCTAAATTTCGGAAACTCCCATACATCTGCTGAGGAACACGACGGAAGAGCCGGATGCCTGACCTGGGATCGATATGTCTGAGCCAACGTCGCTCAGTCAGTTTGCTCTCTCTCTCTCTCTCTCTCTCTCTCTCTCTCTCTCTCTCTCTCTCTCTCATTCTCTCATACAAAGACTCCGAAACCCCTTCATTAAGGAATATACCTTAAACTATAATGGGAACCCTAAATATGATTTAAGGTATTTGACCCTGATGAAGGGGTATTGGAGTCAAGTTCGTGCATTTTTGGAATTGGGGCTTCACGCCCGTCGTCCCGTCGTTTCAAGTCGAGCATGCGGCTAATGTGCTGTGTGTGGCCTACGGCCTGAGGGCGTTAATCGGTTTGACGAGCATGCCCAGAGACTCCAAAACCCCTTAGTTAACTAAACCCTGAACCCTAAACCCTATGCCTTAAACCATATTAGGGTTCCCATTCTGATTCAAGGTATATTCCTTAATTAGGGGGTTTTCGAGTCGCTGACAATTTTTCTTTCGTGCGCGATGTCTCTGTGACAGAAAAGCCCACAGCTCTTCTACAGTGGACAGAGATGCCCAGAGACTCCAATATCCCCTACAGTAAATAAGGAATATTCCGTAAATTATAGTAGGATCCCTAATATGATTTAAGGAATATTCCTTAATTAAGGGATATTGGAGTCTCTGGGGAGCTGATGCCGATGATGACGACTGCGACGAGGATGAGTTAGATGAAGTTCAGGAGGGCGATGATGATAATTATGGTCATGACCGAAATGACGATGGTATGGTCGCAAAGCTGGCACCGCGCTGCTTAAAGGTGAGTTTGTATTGAGGCTCGTTTCACAACCACAAAGCCACAACCACTACACCCTCACCTGCAGAAAGAGCCGTTTTACATAGTTTCATAGAGAGAGCACACCCCGTACTGCAATAAGTCCTGGAAGCTACAATCACGACCACAAATTCCCCAAGAACTGGGGCCTAAAGTTCTCATGCTTGAACCCCACACCCAAAAAAAGCCTAAAGGGTAGAACCTTAAACGGCCTTGGCACCAAAATCGTATCCCTGAGAACAATGCAGGCGGCTAGGGCTGCCTTCCGACAACATCATGCCTGTGGTGACCTCAACGTTGAGGGTTTTTGGAGTTTTGAGCTCACGGTTACATAGGCCCAGAGTGTTTTCATGGACTTGCATGGAGGGTTCCAGTAGTTGGGGTAAAGTTTTTCCGTATCACTAAACAATGGAGCTTAAAACTAGGATTTAGAGTTTGGGTACAATTTTTTACGCCCTCGTAATTGCAGCTGCAGCAGCAACAGCAGCAGCAGTAGTAGTAGCAGCAGTTGTGATTTTCGCCGTCGTCGCTGCGGCACTCAGGTGTGGGACTTGCGAAATGTCCTGCTCAGTGCCGACCAGCTTTGCCTCTCTCGGATGCAGCCGCCCGGCATTCCTGTTTGGGGCTGGGGCTGGGACAGAGCTTCTCCTGAAGTCTAGGAGGTTTTGCATGGTGTCAGTAAAACACCGAACAAGCACTGGAAGCAACACTTTGTGTAGTGCGCACGGTTCTTCTCCAGCCATTAGTTGAACCTAGTTCTTTCGCAGAGTACATTCGGTTGGCGCGGCAGGGCATGTAGGAAGCTGCAAACCACAGCGGAAGAGCGAAGGGAACACGCGGAGTGAGGTCCATATTCGGGTGTCGCTGCGACCTGAGTACAGCTAACTCGAACAAAAACGTGAGCACCCGAGTCTTCGAAGAGTTATAGCAACGAAGAGGTACTCGAGATTACAAATGAGCTGTAGGCTTCAAAGCGTCATACAGCGCCCAGGATACACATCATCCTGAGCATCGTACATCCGGACGAGCATGGCGATGTTGAGTTCGGCTACTTCCTACGTGTCTGCCATCAGCCCGCATTAGCATGGGAGTCTTGTGTTCGACACCTGAAAGTGGGCTGCTTCGAGGTTTGGGGGTATGTAGGAGCATTTGGCTCGATACCGTTTGCGGCTGTGTGCTTGAAGTTTCAAGGGACATGTAGCTCAGAATCAGCGTGGCCATCGTAGCGACAATCGGGATAGTTCTTGGTGTAGACGTCGTCTCGCTGCTGTTGCAGTTGCAGCAGCTTCTCGTACCGATGCTGGTGCTTTCGCTGGTTGGACAAAAACAAGAGTGGCACGACATAAAAAAGAAGTCTGCATCGCATTCGGACACAACATCGCAAGAAATAGACCGAAGTTTCTAGTATTGACACTTAGGTCATTGAAGGTTAGGACTACGGACATGCGTGGCATCATTCGCTGTTGGGCCGCTCGCAAAGCCGTACAGTAGCCTTGCGATTGGCTCCAACTTCTGACGACGCCTACACTCATGGATCACTTCTTGTTGCACTCCGACTTGTTTTCAGAAAGTAAACCAAATAATCCTGAAGCCCAAAACCTCCGAAAGCGAGTAAGGTTGCACGGTGATCCCGCCGCTCTGATGCAGTTGGCGATCTTGTCCACGGCCCTTTGTGTTTAGATTTTAGGGCTTGCCTGATGAACCCGAATGTCGGGATTGGTTTCGGGGGGTTTTAGAACTTTAGCCCGTTTGCATTGTAGCCCCGTATGCAAGCAAGAGCCGGCAGAAACACTTGGGAGTCTCCGAAAATAGGGGACCCACAGTAGTAGGTCCTGAAATGAGGACCCCAACAAAAGGTACCACTAATTTTTGGAAACTCCCACTTTGCTTCCTGCATGCAGGGCTACTTGGAGGCTCATGGGACTTAGTAAGTAAGGTTATAAGTAGGTTATACTTAGGATAACCCCACTTAGGGGACTTACAACCCCACTTATAACCTACTTACTAAGTCCCATGATCCTTTAAGTCAAGGCTCAGACTTTTAGTCTTATGGCCAATGCTACTGCGAGCACATCGCAGTCGTAAGAGAGCCTTTAGACTTAGATAGTGAACGGGGGAACTCTAAACCTTTTGGCCTTATATATTAGCTGTATCATAGAAAGTTTGAACTTTTTGGGGCCCGGTTGTTGAAGAAGAGAGTAGACTATTGTACCGCGAATGCTGCCACAGTCCTACGCGGCCAAACAGCGACCTCTATATAGATCCTTAACTCCAGTGACCCTAAACTCTTTAATCTCGTAATCTCTCTGAACCCTGGTAGACCCTGGCATCCTAAACTTGATACTCTCTTAATCTTTGGACTTTGTTACGATTTAAAGCTCGCAGAGTCTCCGATGCCCTTCCGTTTGCATGACCCACTAAATTACGAACATTTTCCTAAAGTATGCCACTTACGTCTCCGAATTACTGCGGCGATCCCATGAAATTTGCGTGTACTCCTGACCTCAAAAAAGATTTGGAGTCTCTGGGCCACAGGTGGATGTTCGACACCTCTGCTTTCGCCGAGAAGGCCGCCACAATCGCCAAAGAGAAGGCTGGATCTTCCAGCAGGAGGTTCAAGGGAAATAGACGGTTTAGAGTTTTAGGATTTAGGGATTTAGGGTTTAGGGCTTTGGGTTTTAGGATTTAGAGTTTAGGGTTTAGGATTTAGGGTTCAGAGTTTAGGGTTTAGGGTTATGAGCCTCAGGGTTTACTTCGGCCGGAGATCCAGGATTTGGGTTGTTGGGCTTGTGGCTTATGGTTTAGGGCTTGGGTTGACAGGATTTGGGCTTGAACAAAGGAGTCTGAATAATGAGTCGTAATTATTGGTCCATGGGGTTACCCTAAAGCCTAAACCCTCAGCCCCTAAACCCAGGAAGTTTGAGCTTGGGTCGTACCAGCAGGGCCTTCCACCCTAGAACCCTAGAGCCCTAAACCTCGATGGATATACTTTTGAGTAGATTCTCTCCCTTGGCCAACCAGAGACCAGAAAAATCGAACAAAAGTTTGCAAACTGTTAGGGGCTGCGCAGGTAACCGTTCAGCTTTTGAGGATTTTTTGACCCTATCAAAAAAAGTCGCCTGTGTGAGGCCAGGGAATTCAGCCCTGCAAGAAACAAGGTCTATGAAAAACAAATCCCTTGAAATCTCCTGTTCAAGCCTCTGCCAACGATTTGAGCCGCCAGAAACAGTAGGCATTCAATGCTGCTCTGCTGGTTTCCCCCCCGCTCTCTCTCTCTCTCTCTCTCCCTCCCTCTTCTGCTTGCTCGCTGTTTCTTTCGATTTTGAATATACATCTCAGCCTTTTGACCTGTTGTTTCTCCCTGAGGGTTTGTGGTTTCGGATCTGTGCGCGTGGTGTTGCCTGGGGTTGATCTGGGTTTGGATTTTGGTGCTTCCTGGGTTTCCGGTGTAGCAATCATGAGGTTGGCAGGCCTCAGGTAGGCTTACTCGATTGAATTTGTGCTCTGTTCATTGCAAGGTTGGACTTCTGTGCGTTTGGACAAGGTCTTCATTGTGAGCTCCAGCTCGCTCGCTGTCTCTCTCTCTCTCTCTCTCTCTCTCTCTCTGTCTCCCCTTGTCTCCCGTGTTGCTGCCAGCCTGACCAACTTGGACTTGCTGGCAACAACAGCTGCATCGAAAGCTACCAGCAGGAAATAAGCTACTCCCCGAACCCTAAACCCCAAACCTCTGTACCTTGAACTCCTGAGGTCATAAGCCCTCTGAGCGAACTGAGCTACACGCCTCAAAAAGTGCTCTAATATAGGAGTCCGGATAAATTACTGGCTGCATTTATACTATCATATACCCTAAACCCTATTCCGATGATTCAGGACCTTATACTACACCCCTGCAGCACTACCATTTGGTACCCCATGTAGTATCCCTTATAAATCCCTTTGAAAAAGTTCTGTTCTAATCATTAAGGCCCCTGTACTAAGCCCTCACAACATCCCAATATAGAATCCCTTGCAGCCCTTTGAATTAAAGGAACCCTTTTAAAGGAACGCGCCTCTAACAATCAAGGCTCTTAACTACACCCTTGAACCCCTAAACCCCTAAAGCTCTAAACCCCCCAAACCCCAAAAAAAAACGTAACCCATGTACCCCAACACCCTATTCTCACGATGAACTTCTTTTCTGGTCATATGTGTGTTTCCGAAAATTAGGCGTACC